TACTTAACGGCTCAAGGTTTTTTTTAGATTTATAAATCATAATAAAATATCTACATTTACAGCGGATCAATTAATTTATTTATATTTAATTTAATAAGTATTTCTACTACTATGAGCATTTAGCTCAATATAAAACAATTGGGAAGTTTTGTAGAAAATTTTTAAACAAAAGCTTTTCAAACTTTTCTAAAACTTATAGTAATATAAAAATTTATAAAATTCTTTTAAATATTAAAAGAATTTTTCTTAAAAAAAAAAAAATAAATAAAAATATCTTTTCATAAACTCTTAAACCATAAATTTTAAACAAAAGCACCCAAATTTCCAACTTCCTTAGAAGTTAGACAACCAAAGACCATTGTTAAAAGTAAAACAATTGAATTGTACATTAAATTTATGGCAAAACGAAGTGTCAATATAAATTATAATAACTGTTGAAATAAAAATAATATAAAAAACTTTTTGTATTTAGTTTAAAGAAGAAAATAAAAAAGAAACATACATATATTTTGCAACAGAAGTTTTTAACACTCATAATCTAAAAGATAAAAATCTATAAGAAAAAGTTTATGGAAAATAACTGAGAATATATAAAAGAATTGAATTGACTTTGTTAGAGTTAAACATAAGAACTGAACTAGAACTGAACTGAACTGGAACTAAACTAGGACTGAACTAGAACAGAACTAGAACAGAACTAGAACAGAACTTGAACAGAACTTGAACAGAACTAGAACAGAACTAGAACAGAACTAGAACAGAACTAGAACAGAACTAGAACAGAACTAGAACAGAACTAGAACAGAACTAGAATAGAACTAGAACAGAACTAGAACAGAACTAGAACAGAACTAGAACTAGAACAGAACTAGAACAGAACTAGAACAGAACTAGAACAGAACTATAACATAACTATAACAGAACTAGAACAGAAATAGAACAGAAATAGAACAGAACTAGAACAGAACTATAACAGAACTAGAACAGAACTAGAACAGAACTAGAACAGAACTAGAACAGAACTAGAACAGAACTAGAAAAGAACTAGAACAGAACTAGAACAGAACTAGAACAGAACTAGAACAGAACTAGAACAGAACTAGAACAGAACTAGAACAGAACTAGAACAGAACTAGAACAGAACTAGAACAGAACTGGAACAGAACTAGAACAGAACTAGAACAGAACTAGAACAGAACTAGAACAGAACTAGAACAGAACTAGAACAGAACTAGAACAGAACTAGAACAGAACTAGAACAGAACTAGAACAGAACTAGAACAGAACTAGAACAGAACTAGAACAGAACTGAACTAGAACTGAACTAGAACAGAACTAGAACTGAACTAGAATTGAACTAGAAGTGAACTAGAACTGAACTAGAACTGAACTAGAACTGAACTAGAACTGAACTAGAACTGAACTAGAACTGAACTAGAACTGATCTAGAACTGATCTAGAACTGATCTAGAACTGAACTAGAACTGAACTAGAACTGAACTAGAACTGAACTAGAACTGAACTAGAATTGAACTAGAACTGAACTAGAACAGAACTAGAACAGAACTAGAACTGAACTAGAACTGAACTAGAACTGAACTAGAACTAAACTAGAACTGAACTAGAACTGAACTAGAACTGATGTAGAACTGAACTAGAACTGAACTAGAACTGAACTAGAACTGAACTAGAACTGAACTAGAACTGATCTAGAACTGATCTAGAACTGAATTAGAACTGAACTAGAACTGAACTAGAACTGAACTAGAACTGAACTAGAACTGAACTAGAACTGAACTAGAACTGAACAAGAACTGATCTAGAACTGATCTAGAACTGAACTAGAACTGAACTAGAACTGAACTAGAACTGAACTAGAATTGAACTAGAACTGAACTAGAACAGAACTAGAACTGAACTAGAACTGAACTAGAACTGAACTAGAACTGAACTAGAACTGAACTAGAACTGAACTAGAACTAAACTTGAACTGAATTCAGAATTATTCCTAAGCTTACTATTAGATGCTAAAATCATAACTAACAAACCTTTTCTACTCAAGCCTTCTGTCGATGTTTTTATTATAATTTCTATAATATTCTATAATTCAAAATTTCCTGTCCTAACTTAAAGTTTCAAAATTTATTAAAAAAGTAATACAATTTTCGTTTTCTTAAGGCAACGGAAATAATAAATTGTTTTCTCTTAATCACACCCCTACGACTAAATAAACAAAAATTCCTAATAAAAAAAAAATAAACTTCTAGCACAACTTTTTCATAAAACTTTTAATGCTTTAAAGTAAATAAAATGTTAAAATAAGAACTAAATAAAAAACGTAAAATCCACAATACTTAAACTTAAATAATATAGAAAAAAACTTGAAAAAAAATATTCAAATAAAATACAACTACTACTATAAAACAAGAGTATTATCAACAAAAAACGACCGCCCGCAGTGTTATCAATCAGTAGATGAAGAAAAAGTACAGAGAAAAAAAAAATCATAACAACACCAATAACCCCAGAAGATGTTCACGCTTTATAAAATGTATAAAATAAATATTTTATATAGATGCAACACGAATGAAAAAAAAAAAAAACAAAATAAAAATAGAATAAAAAGCAACACAAAATCAACATACTAAAGTGCAACATTGGAACATCAAGTATAAGTGTGATCCTACACAAAAAAACAAGAAATGCTTTACTTTAATCTAGTCTAAAACACTTTAAAGATAGATGAATGAAGGCAGGGTCGGATAGACAGACGGGCGGACGGACAGACAGACAGACAGACAACTAGACATAAAGTAAGGGTATCATTGGAAATAGCCAACATATGCTGGCACTAACATCTTTAACATCATCGTCAGCATCATTATTGTTATTCACCCAATCAATAGTACTATTTAATGATCATTATCTTTAATACACTACTTTCTTAGCATCTTCATTATTGTGTTGTGTCGGATAATGTAATAAAAGCTATTTTTTAGAGCGATTTTTTCCCAATAACGTTACTTTGTAAATCGAACTTTCTATTAGAATTAGAATAAACTTTTAGCCGAAGAAAACTTTCGGTATGACTTTAAGTTTCTATGGATATCCTAGTAGCAAACTTGTCGGTAACTACTGGTGTTCATCCGACTTAGTGTCAAGAGAATACTGATAGTTTATGCTTCACGGACCCGTCCAAACAGTTCATAAGTCTACTATATATTTCAGCATTAATTTAATGTATCTTAAGGACTTATTATCATAAGGTAGTTTGGTCTTGTATGGACTGTTTGATGGCCGACCGATTTCTAGGATAACGAGCTGCTCAGTGACTATTTTGCAGGTTAGAACATGGATTCGCTATGAAAAAGTTTGGTGACTGTGAAGATATGAATTTGCTTTCCACTCGAAATGGAGGCATATATGAAAGCTCAGAGAAATAAAATATCTTATAAAACTGCAAAACAAAGTCTTGGATATCTTCAGTCCGACCTTTCCGAACATATAAATTATATATGTTTAATACTTATAGACAACTGAGTGGATTATGCTATGTATGACTGTTTTCTGAAGACCCTTATCTATATCTTCGGTAACCTCCCTCAATCAGACATGCTTTTGAAAAGTTTACCTTATAAAATCGGCAATATCGGCCCATAAATAATGACCATATGGGTGGGATGGTCACACCAACCTCAAAATATAGCGATCGACTCAGAATTTCTAAGTTGATTAAGACATGTCCGTCCGGCTGGTTGGCTGTCCAGGTAAACCTTGTGCGCCAGGTACAGGCCGCAATATATTGAAGAAATTTGGAATTTATCGGCCCAAACTCAAAGCCGATTGAAAAATGGTACTAAACGGTTTATTATTGCACCAAGACCCCATATAACAAGACCTTCCGATTTGGACTTATTAGTTCATAACAACGACACATATACTAGGATCACTTCGGCCTAAAAACACTACACGATCGGCCCTTATTCGACCCTAATCCCCCTTACAAACTTCCCTTAAAATAAAAAACTCCTAAAAACGTCCATAATTGACTTATAAACCATTATTATCGCCATTAGTTTCAACATAACTAACTTTTAACTATTAACTGCTCACAGTTAACGGCTGAAATCAGGGATGGAAAAAAGTTATGAATGAAATTCGGATTTAAAAAAAAAAAAAATTTTAAATAAAAAAAAAATTTTAAAATAGAATTTTTAAAACAATTATATAGCAGCTTCAGAATATAGAACATCCGAAGTTAATAAAATTTTTCATAGTCCGAAAAAAAATTTTAATTTTTATCACCACTGTGCCACAAATTTTATTTTAGTCTCACTTTACATCAAAATTTTACAACACACTCATACACACACACACTAAAAAAACCATAAAAATGAAATATATTCTAATAAATTATCAAAAAGCAATGCTGCAGCATTCCCCCACTCTCACACTCTCTAACAATATTACACGAAAACCATAAAAAGAAATGTGTTCAAGTTGTCAATTCCTAAGAGAAATGCAACTTGCAACACATGTAATATAAAAATTCTAACAAAAAATATGTTCGAAAAAAAAAAAACAAATAAAAACCGTGTTAAAATATAGTTTAAATGACACGCTAAAGTTGCAGCACAACTCCCTGAATGAGATGAATGTGGCATAAACATGGTGGCAAATACAGAACATTATTTTTAGCGTGAAGAAAATAAAACTCAACAATTGATGTTTAGTTAACAAATAGACAAAATGATAGATTTATGGTCTTATTTTAAAGCACTAAAACAAACTAAAAACTATGAAGAACTATGAAAAACTATGCCTACTTGTTTGTCACACATAGCTGGAGTTTAATATTGTGGTTGTTGTTTTCTTTAAGTAAGTGTTAATTTTTCGCCAACACTTGTTAATGTGTTAAAGTCTTTTTTTTTGCTGCATTTTTTGTTATTTCTTTTCTTTAATTATTTTAGAGTAATTTAATGTTTTTCTCTTGCACTTACCCGCAATTTGCAGTGTGGCATGTCTGCTTACAGCTTTGCCAACATGATTTTTGGCCACACACCAGTAGACACCGCTGTCTTGTTCCTTTTTACTTTGCATGGTGCGATAGAAGAACAAAGCACCATCTTTAAACAGCACACGATGTGTTTTTTTGTCGTTTGTATTTACCGGTTCACCATCCTAAAATAAAAATCAAGAGTAAAATTGATGTTTTTTCTATTTTAATATTATTTTCTATTACTTTTTCGAGTAATTTAAGTGTTTTTCTATAAATTGAGCTATAAATTGTTTTAAAATCAATAAATTGTTTCTTTCTTTTGGCAAAGAGTTTTCTTGCTGTTGCTAAAACTTTTATTTGGTTTTTTCCTTGCTATTGATATGGCAAGTTTACAGCTGGTGACAGAAAAAAGTTCAGTTCTAGTTCGGTCCTAGTTCAGTTCTAGTTCAGTTCTAGTTCAGTTCAGTTCAGTTTCTAGTTCAGTTCTAGTTCAGTTCTAGTTCAGTTCTAGTTCAGTTCTAGTTCTGTTCTAGTTCTGTTCTAGTTCTGTTCTAGTTCTGTTCTAGTTCTGTTCTAGTTCTGTTCTAGTTCTGTTCTAGTTCTGTTCTAGTTCTGTTCTAGTTCTGTTCTAGTTCTGTTCTGTTCTGTTCTAGTTCTGTTCTAGTTCTGTTCTAGTTCTGTTCTAGTTCTGTTCTAGTTCTGTTCGAGTTCTGTTCTAGTTCTGTTCTAGTTCTGTTCTAGTTCTGTTCTAGTTCTGTTCTAGTTCTGTTCTAGTTCTGTTCTAGTTCTGTTCTAGTTCTGTTCTAGTCTGTTCTAGTTCTGTTCTAGTTCTGTTCTAGTTCTGTTCTAGTTCTGTTCTAGTTCTGTTCTAGTTCTGTTCTAGTTCTGTTCTAGTTCTGTTCTAGTTCTGTTCTAGTTCTGTTCTAGTTCTGTTCTAGTTCTGTTCTAGTTCTGTTCTAGTTCTGTTCTAGTTCTGTTCTAGTTCTGTTCTAGTTCTGTCTAGTTCTGTTCTAGTTCTGTTCTAGTTCTGTTCTAGTTCTGTTCTAGTTCTGTTCTAGTTCTGTTCTAGTTCTGTTCTAGTTCTGTCTAGTTCTGTTCTAGTTCTGTTCTAGTTCTGTTCTAGTTCTGTTCTAGTTCTGTTCTAGTTCTGTTCTAGTTCTGTTCTAGTTCTGTTCTAGTTCTGTCTAGTTCTGTTCTAGTTCTGTTCTAGTTCTGTTCTAGTTCTGTTCTAGTTCTGTTTCTAGTTCTGTTCTAGTTCTGTTATCTAGTTCGTTTCTAGTTCTGTTCTAGTTCTGTTCTAGGTCTGTTCTAGTTCTGGTCTAGTTCTGTTCTAGTTCTGTTCTAGTCTGTTCTAGTTCTGTTCTAGTTTGTCTAGTTCTGTTCTAGTTCTGTTCTAGTTCTGTTCTAGTTCTGTTCTAGTTCTGTTCTAGTTCTGTTCTAGTTCTGTTCTAGTTCTGTTCTAGTTCTGTTCTAGTTCTGTTCTAGTTCTGTTCTAGTTCTGTTCTAGTTCTGTTCTAGTTCTGTTCTAGTTCTGTTCTAGTTCTGTTCTAGTTCTGTTCTAGTTCTGTTCTAGTTCAGTTCAAGTTTAGATCAGTTCTAGTTCTCCACTAGTTCAGTTGTAAATCATTCGTCACGAAGTGTATCCCTCAAATATTTTAGTATTTTTTCACCGTTTGTCTTGTTTTTTCTTTATTTGCCAAAAAGTAAAACAATTTCATTTAGAGTAAAAGTTTCACAAACTAAAACTTACCTTAAACCTCAATAGTCGGTTCGGGTTTACCCTCAACTTTACAATTCAATGTAGCAGGTTCATTCTTCTTAACCACCAAATCCGTTGGATGTTCAATTATACGCGGTGATTGATATTGAGCTAAAAATAGAAACAAAAAAAGTTTCAAATCAATTGGATTTTGTATTTTTTTTTTCCAGCAAAGTTGGTAAATTTAAAAGCAAATTGGTTTTATGGTAATGGATTTAAAGGATAAAGGAATATGTATATATGCAGTAGATAAATCGCAGCATGTTTTTGTTATCAATTAAATTAAATTAGTTTTAATAATGTTAAAGTACGTTGATAATAAAAACCTAGTACTGCAGTATATTTTTAATTGAATATTATTAGTTTTATAAATATTTCTATTTTTTTGTTTTTCAAAGATATTTTCGCTATAGATAGAAATTAATGCCATGGATTTTATGCACATCATAACCCAAATAATATGCAAATATTTAAGCTCATTAAAAATGAAAATCACGTTTTTTCCTAAAACAGACACAGACATTCAAACATACATAGTAGTGTAAGCATAAGTATCTACTAGCAGTTAATTCAAATTGAATAGAACAAAAAATTGGATGTATATGGAAATAATAATAATAATTGATAAGCATGTTAAGCAAATTATTATAAACTACACTAATACTGCCACCATCTACAACAGCAACATATCGCCAAACACCAGAACCAGCAGGCTTAAATAGAGTGGCAGCAATACGGTCGT